AGAAAACATATATCTACAGCTAAACAAAACTAGCTGGCAATTTCATGACTGTTCTATCTGCTCCTCCAACCAAGGAAAGTACAGAATGTGGAAAGTGGTGACTGACTCTGTTTCCATTATGTAAATATACACATGTGTACAGCTGGGAAACCTATCTTGCATCTTTGTTCTTTAGAGCATCCTTCAGAAAACCAGGCATCATTAAACAGAAATATACCTCCAGCTGGAAAACTTAGCCAGCATCTTCATGTATATTCTATGTACTCCTATCCCCTACCAAGAAAGCATGCGGAGTCAATGCGGAGGTATGGAATGTGGAAAGTTTCTCTCAGTCGTGCTCACAGCTGTCCTATGTACTGCACCTCCAACCAAGGAAAGTACCCAATGCAGAAACTGTCTTGACTCTGCCACCCTCTGTCCTGCCCATGGTCACGTTCATGCACCTTCTCCGACGGCATGCTGTCAGTGGAGATACGGGCTTCCTCCAGAAACCAAGCATCTACAGAAACCAGGTTCAAGTTGTATCCAAGCTATAATGTATCCATTCTTTAAAATATATCTATATATCTACAGCTGGAAAACTTAGCCAGCATTTTCATGTGTATTCTATGTACCTCTATCCCCTACTAAGAAAGGATGCGGAGTCAATGCGGAGGTATGGAACGTGGAAGTGTCTCCGTGCTCACAGTTGGTCCTGATTCTGCTCTGACACACTGCCAATGTTGAGAGTGCCTCTCTCCTGCGGCCAAAGAATGTTCAAGTTCTATCCGCCGTCCACCACTGTAGATTGTAGATACAGATATGGAGCTGGCATTTTCAGTCGTATTCTATGTACCGTACCTCCCCAACCAAGGAAAGTACTTAATTGGGGACGTGTTTTGTCTTTGCTCTCTGCTACCCTCTGTCCTGCCCACAGTCACGGTCATCCACCTTCTCCGATGGAGTCACGGTGCTGCCAGTGGAGATACGGGCCTCCTCCAGAAACCAAGCATCTTCAGAAACCAGATTCAAGTTGTATATATACTAGATGTATATATATAGATATTTAATATATGTGTGTTGTGTGTTGCTTCTCTTGATTAAATACAATGGTTGTCTAAATCTTTTGCTTAAGAACCAGTCCTCCAAGGCATCATCTGCCAGTTGTTCATGGTTAGGCAGCACAAACGATGCAGCCATTGAAGGCATTCGGTCCTGTGCACAATGTCAGGTGAAAATCGGAAAGGACTTTAGTAAAAACGCATGATATGCAGTCCAAATACAATCCTATCCATCCATTAGTATATTCTATGTAGTATTACTGCCACCTATTTAAACATGTTTTGCTACAAACATCTCCCCCCTCGCGTCCTGACACTGAAAATGCTCATCCCAACTGCTAGAAGCAGCCAGTGGAAGTTGGATGTCCCCCTGACCCTTGGGAGATGCCCGCAGTAGATCGAAATGCCCGGCAATGTTCTGTCCCTTCTCATTCTTCATCCACCGGTACAAGAGGTGGCCAACTGGTTTTGCCCCAGCAATTGAGCCATAAAGCGCATCTTTGGGGTACTGGTTCTCGAAGTGAGCTTGAACCTAAAGGGAATATGCAGGCATGAAAAGCAATGTTGCCTTCAGGACCAAAACACAAACACATTTGGTAAGCTTGAGAAGTGATTACATAGAATATGTTAAACAGTCCGCCCAACCACCTAGTGTCTTCAACAACTTTGGCCTCCTTGGAAAGGGTAATTCGAAAGACAGCTGAGCTTTGCTGGCATATCCACTGCGCCAACTCCAATGACACCTGAGTGCTTTCCTCCAATTCTGCCAATTGCTTTTTGAATTGAGGCTTTGATTTGGCGATATCCATCAGCTCTAGATGGAGGCTTTTAGCCATGTCAACTTCCCGTTCCAACTGACGATTGGACAGCGGTGCCCCAGTACATGTCCTGGATTTGTTCTCATAGTGGTCCGGGAGTGACGACCGGAGAAAGCAGTGGAAAAAGCACAGCCCGTCACCGGGCACTGGAATGCGACGGAAGTCCACCAAGTCAGGGGTGTGATCCTCTGACTGCTTAGCCGTTTCCTCCAGGTGCTTCACAAAGACATTCCGAACCAGTTGAGGGAACTGCTCCGACAATGGGGTGTTTGGCATCAAAGGCTTCACCAAAAACTCTTCCCCTTCAACTCTCCGAGAGATAAAGCTCAGATCAACTTCCTTGATTCCACCAGATGAGGACCCCGCTTTCGAGGTTGCTGCCTTGAGCTCCCAGGCCTTGAGACTGCCAATCTTCGTTGGGTATGTGACGACAAGAGCCAGCGCCAAGGGTTGCTTCTCCAGAATTGCTTTCAAATTTGCTGTGTCTGCTTCTCGAAGATCGGGCTGTTCAAAGATTCTGGGATCACATCGCATAAAACCAATGTGCGCAAGCTTCAGAGTGGAAGCAGCTTCATCAACCAGTTTTTTGGTTTCTTCGCGGTCTCCATCTCCTGCGTGAGTCAATATGGTAGCCACCCGCCATCCCAATGTCTTATGTTCCCAGGCAAGCAACTCTCCAACCACCATATTCTGGGCCCCAAGCTCTTTCATGCGATCAACACTGTTCTTGGGCAGCTTCACCAAAGAGCTGGGTTTCTCAACTTTGGAGTCTTTGCTTTCTTTCGGGCCCCACATGGATTGCCAAATGTCTGTCCCGTCTTTATGATGCCGCTGGAAAGCCTTGGACTCCTCAGGCCGGAAGGACTTGTTAGCGTTGAGAATCTTGTCATAGGCCTCTTGGGTGGCTTTCCTGTTGGCTGCGGCCTGCTTCATGGTGTCCAAATGCCCTGCCAGAAGCTTTTTGCCATCCAAGGATCTCAAAAGGTCAATCCAATGAAAAGCATCCTCCTTCAAAGGAAACTCTTTCACAAAGAATTGCTCCCGGATCTTGCAGCATGCTTGGAACACATTCTTGTGCTTGTTCCAAGTGATCCCTTCACAAAGCTCAGCTGCTTGTGGGACCTTGTCAGCCCCAATGCCCTTTTGGAAAACACTTCGCAGGTGTTCCTCTGTTGGCTTGGACTTGCCGTTTATCAGCACCTGCACAGGAAACAGTGCCATTGCATGGGGAGAGGATGTACATGGAATATAGCCCTTGTAGGCCAAAAACAGAGTGCAATGGACCGGAAACAGCATGGTTGCTTCATTGGGGGCCATAGTACATAGAATTCCTTGTTTCACGTGGCTCCACTGTGCATCTTCCCATATGTGTATATTAAAACGAGCATATATATATATATGTGTGTGTTTGTGTGTGTATGTGAGGGGCTATGTGTTTTTGATATTCTGTGTATTGTTGTGCAAGCAACCAAGCCTGTTCCAATTCGTCTCGCATTTCAGCTATTGTTGTCTTTGAAGATGAAGGCTCCCACCCATGAGTCGCCATGAAGGTAACCTTATCTTTCTTTTTGCTTTGCGCATCATAGTCAATCAAAGCACGGTGAGCCTTCTTGGCAAACTCGGTGGCCACCTCCCTAGCCACCTTTTTGTCATGCCACTCATTGAAGGCAAACTTCCGTGCGACCAGATGACCAAGTGACACCCGGAAAGCCCCTTTCAACTCTTTCACCAAGAAGCCACACACGTGCCATGAACCATCTGGCTGTGTCTTCTCACCATCTGGCTGTTTCTCACCCTTTGGCTGCTTCTCCTTCTTTCCAGTGTCTGAAGCAGGATGCTTTTCCGTGTCTTTCTCATCCTTTTGCACTGCCGTCTTGCTAGGTTTGGCCTGTTGCTTCACCCACGGATTGCTGGGCTTGCAAAGGTGAGCTTGCTTCTTGGTCTTGCTCCTTTTTTGGGCGGCCTCCTGCTGGTACTTGTGTTCCAGTCTCCTGCCATGCTCGGCTCTTGCCACCGGCGACTGCATAGTAGTCCAGGCCTTGTTGACCAGCCCCATCGCATTGTGTGCTCCCTCGAGGGAACACTTGTCAGGATGAATGGCCTTGCATGTGCACATGAATGCAGCTTTCACTGACTCCAAAGGCAAGTGCCTCAACATAGTCAAGCGCTTCATGGCTTGATCTGGTGTCTCCGATTCGGACCTCAAGGGGGCAACTCCCAAGAGGTGGTAGTAATCCTCCCTGGCAGAGCCATCCAAAACCCGCTGGATGATATCTTCCGCCATGGTGGAATCCCCAACCGTGCAAAATGCAAAGAAAAAGATGGCTAACGAGCGTGGCTGCGGCGGCGACAGTACATAGAATATGGAGAGATCCCTTGACTGGATGAAAAGTTCACACATTTCTGATTGGCTATCTACCGCATCTCATGTCAATCGCATTTGCTGGTCCATCCTCCACCCCTTGGATAGGGCCCTTAAAGGTGATAAAGGGTATTTTGGAAAAGAAAAGGGCAGGATAAGGAAGAAGGACAAGAAAAATACAAGAAAAGGCAAAGGAAAGGGCACAAAAAGGACAAGAGAAGGAAAAGAAAAGGACCAGAGTTGGAACAGACTTAGACAAGAAAAGAAAAATAAAAGGAACACACAACCATCCTGGAGTACATAGAATATGGAATAGAAAGTTCCGGCCGTTTTTGTCCACAAACTTGGATAAGAAAAGAAAAATAAAATGAAAAGAATTGGACAAGGAAAGGAAAAGAACATGACAAGAGAAGGACAAGAAAAGGAAAAGACTTGGACAAGAAAAGATAAGACAATGAACACAATTTAACAAGAAAAGACACAGAAAAGGACAATAAAAGGAAAACAAAAGGAACATAAAAGGAAAATACATGGACAAGAAAAGGGAAAAAGGAAAAGAAAAAGATAATCGAGGGGAACCATATTCTATGTTTCAAAAATTTGGTTGACTTGAAAGCTCGAAATCAACGTTTTTATATTCTATGTACCCGTTTGGATTTTCAAAAAGTTCGTGGACAAAAATGGCCGGAACCTTCAATTCCATATTCTATGTACTCCAGGATGGTTATAATTATAGCACTATGACTAGAATATGACAGCTAATGAGCAGCTGTAAGGCGCCTCTGCAATCGTGGGAGTGATCTGCGCTTGCTGGCTGTCGGCCTCAACATCTTCAATTGCAACTGATGTTAATGCAATCTGCGCAGACTTGACTTCAATCAATCACCAAGTGCACGAGCTGCTGTGAGTTCACTTGGTTCTGAGTCTGGCGAAAGCTCAGCTACCTACTTCATCAACATCAGACATGTCCTCCTGAAGCACCTGCAACAGTGCAACAAGAGCGTGAAATGAAAGTCAGGCTCCCAATCTGTGCTCTCAGGCAGCAAAAATACTGATTACATCTATGTGTATGTCACACAGCGTCACAACACCAATGCGAAATATATACCATCCACTCTCCTGCACTCTTTGATTCAGAACCTTTTTACATCTTTAAAGAGGCTTTGGCAAAAGAACACTCGCAAAGCGGAGGCGAGAACAGTTCTGCATTTTTGCCGGACTCGAATAACTGCCGGTGAAAACAGGAGCCTAGTTCACCTCCCAAAATGAACAAAGTAAGTAGACTGCGGACAACAAGGCATGTCAACTAACCTACTATTTGATTTGTTCTTGGTGTGTTTGGTATTGCTTTCGTGCCTTCTCAACCACTCCCTCATCTGGCGCGTCAGCCTTTTCAGCATCTTGCTCTGGAGCCTCCTGGAACTGCAAAGTGGAAGGGAGACTTGTGACTTGCTTGTTGATTTCGCAGCTGCCAGGGCATCCCCTGAATTGTTTTAGACATGTAGCAGATCAAAGAGAAAAGAAACAGGCAAATCTGCCACTGTTTGGTTTCATGTTGATCAGCGCTTTATTGTGAGTATAGTTTCGAAAGGCACGTCTGCAAACTAATGGACTCTGAAAATTGATCCGTGGAAGGCCATTTTCTACAACTTGCCGGTCCAATCTGCAGGAGGGTAGGTAATTATAGCACTATGACTAAAATATGACAGCTAATGAGCAGCTGTAAGGCGCCTCAGCCTTCGTCGGAGTGACCTGCGCTTGCTGGCTGTCGGCCTCAACATCTTCAATTGCAACTGATGTCCAGAAATTCAAGTGCATCTCCAAAGGAAAAAACAAACGAATCGGACAGTACCACTTGGATGACACCTGTTCCTCAAGGACGCGGGCGTTGCTGGCTTCCCGGACATGCAGAGCTGCAAAAAGCGGAGCCAGAAATTGGTTCCAAACCATTGGACGCTTCAGGATGGCATAGTGGGTGTTCTGGGGCAACGACTTCTTCAACATCTGACATCACCTCATCAAGGTCCGTTTCCGTGTCATTGTTCGGCAAGGCCTGGACAGCGCTTGCACAGCGCTTGCGGCGACGCCTTTGGTGGAACGAAGATGGAAGATGGTTGCAAAGGAAAAATAACGTATTTGGTGTCCAAAGACCAGCCAATACTGATACAAAATACTCTATTTTTCCAACCAACCAACCAACCAACTAACTCCAGTGAAGACTGAGATGGAAGATACCTCACTTGGAGTGTCCAACCATTCCTTCCGCCTCACTCGCACAGCTTCGTCGCACAGCTTCGTCGCACAGCTTCGTCACAGGACGGTCAAACAAAGCTTCGTAAGAAATGCGGAAGTAAACCTGCATCCGGCCCACCTGCATCCGACTTCCTTTTCGTGATTGCATTACACTTGAAGTCACAGATCGGAAGTGGAGTGAAAACCACCTATTTGAGCCAGGCCCATGCGCCATCCATGGCCAGGCGCATGAGTCTTTCAGGGAACGTGAACCAAACGCGGTCTTTCGGGGAGCGTTCCACGATCGGTGAACCCGAAAAAGGCCACCGGTTCGGACGACGGCTGGGTAGACGCCCGTTTATATACCTTCTTCCACGGTGTTCGGAACGCCTGGTAGGTTTCCCTGTTAATACACATCCATTTGTCTCTCCAATGTTGGCCCATGAAAGACATTGGAGCAATCCTGGAATGCTGGTGCTTGGCAGACTGACGATGACTCCAAAGCGAAAAACTTCAGTTTTGTGAAGGTGCCAGAGCTCAAAGCCTCCACGTGTGAGAAAGGACGATGCTTGCTGTGTCACCGTGTGATGGACCATCCTGTAGTGGGAAGCTTGGAGATCATCCAAAATCAACTACACTACACTACACATCAAGAATCATTGAAAAATCGCTTGTCTTCGCTTTGCATGAAAAAGGGTGTACCCGAAAACCTAGTCTCGGAAAACAAGTAGAGTCGGTTGGCAAAGGTTTCACAAACCGCGGTTCTTACCGATAGTTACACTCTGACGTCATGATTGATGGTGAATTGCTTTGATGATTCTTTGGAGGCCCCATTGTGGCCAGCTCCGGCACTTACTTACATATCGATATGGGTTTCAGGCGGCGGCTGCAGACTTTCTCCCCATAAGTGTTCCACAGTGGGTGTCTGGTTGCAGCTCATTGAGCATTGGTAGATGTTCACTTCCTGTTCCTTGATCCAAAATGGGTCTTGCTTGTCTACAGGTTCGACTTGTGATTGAGTGCCTTACACCTCTTTAGTATGGTATGAAACCCATCATATTGACAGTGGTTTGATGTGCTTTGTGTATGTGCTCACCTCCGGCCACCTTTCTGCCTTCCATCCACCATTCCGAGAAGATATGTCCGAACAGATTGGACCACAGGGCACATGCCAGAACACATGCCAGGTCTGGCATACCAGAACACATGCCAGCACTGGATGTTTGCACGCTCAGGACTTCTACCAGGCCTGGCAGCAGGGTGGTGCACGCTGGACATTTGGCCAGAACACATGTCAGAGCAAAGGTCGAAACAGAAGACAGAAAACATGTCAGAAGACATGCTTTTACTTGACGCCGGCATAAATGTCAAAACAAATGTCGGAATACGTGCCAGAACAAATGTTGGAACACTCGCCAGACATAATGCCAAATCAGAACAAATGTCGGAGCACGTGACAGAACACATTTCCAAACAGAAGTCACGCAATATGCCACATCACACTTCAGAACACATGCCAGATTTGGTGGGAAGGAACATGTACATGCCGTACATGCCAGAAGATATGTCAGACTTGACTGCAGGAGTCAGAGCACATGCCAGATGGGATGTCAGATACATTCCAGAACAGAACATGTCCCAGCCCTACCAGAATTGATGTCAGAACGTGTCGGAACAGTCCACGTGTCAGGCAGCGTTTTTCAGTCTGTCAATACATGTGCCCTCTTCTAAATCGCCTCTCAGGATGGGGATTACTCGAAGTAAAGTGGATTTCAGTTTGGTGTTCTCAGGTTCTCCATTTTGGCAGAACAAGTTTACTGATCCAGATCTTTCCCAGATTGTTTTTTGTTGTCAATGGTGCTTGACATCTGTCTCAAAAGACCGTTCAGAAGGGAGTGAGGGGAGCTATTCTCTTGCCAAATATTCCTGCCCGCTTAATCATCCATCTGAAAAGTGGATAATGACCTGATGGACTCAGTGGCTAAAGCAAAAAACATCACGAGGATCTGCCTCGAGCTGCGACACGCGCAGACCGTTCAGCACTGAGAGTTCCCTGCCTCGCAGGTATAGGCAGCGGTCAAAGCATCTTGAAGTCCCTTCAGCTCATGGCCTTGGAAACCACCACGACGTTTAGCCTAAACGGAAGGACCGAGCCCCGCAACGCGAGTCCCGCGCATGTCCTCGGGTCCTCGGGTCCTCGGGACGTCGTCCGGGTCACATGTCTTGGTCCTCTCATCTGCGGATTTTTTTCCAGAAAGCCACGGCAAAAGACATGTTCATTCACCCTGACACATACTACCTGGTAGCTGGTAGCTTATTGTGCCCCAAAAAAGGGACGTCGAAGCCGCGGAACGCGAATCTCGCGCGCTGCTCACCCGAGCACAAATGGGCCCGGACTCTTGGGCGAGGCTTCATTGGATGCAGTGGAGGCTCGACGTGGGCTAAAGATCTTCCCCAACTGCTGCATCATGGCGCCTCACGCGACACGCGGATGTGCGCAGCCGTGGCGCCTCACACGTGGCGCAGCGTGTGCGCGGCCGTGGCTCTCAGGCGGTGTGCCGGACTTTCTTCGCATGACATATTCTCCTTTTGCAGCATGGGCATTCCGGCTTAAGGTTTAAGGAAGAATGTGTGTGCATAATGTGATCCGGGCCCTGTGAAGCTTGGAAAGTAAGTGGCGGTGAGCTATTCAATGAAGGATTGAGGGCGCCTTAAATGAATATGAACGTACTTGTGAATGCAGAGCGCGACAGCTTCTCACGAAATGCTAGAAGCACGAGCTGAGTCAACCCAGAGAGCAAACGCGGAGGCAAAGAAACGTTGCTTTACTGCCTTGTTGCTTACGTTCTCTGGGTTTCAAGTTTCAACCGTATGTAGCGTGTGCGTGTGTGTGTGAGAGAGAGGGAGATAGACAACTCAAGCCAGCAGGTGCACAATCTCAACACCTACACAGCATTTGACACTGGACCCAGCCCCACCCAACTTATCATGATCGGATGAGGGTCGGCTAGATATTTGAAGAACTTGGTGTTACTTTGATGATACAGTGGCAGTACATGCATTGGCTGCAATGCATTGGCTGCATGGCTGCATCATTTGCAGCTGGCCCTCCCACTGTGATACGAAGAAGGGATCTGCTGAAGATGGTCTCTGTCCAGTCGTGCTATGCCATGTTTCATGCTTTCTCAAGGGACTCAAGGGTTTTTGCACCAGTTCCAAAACAACTTAGAAAGCTCCTCAAACCATTTTGTTTCAGAGCCGGAGCCCACACTCCCTTTTTGGTCTGTCCTTTCAGGGTGCTTGGGGTGCAGGGCACGTAGACATGCAGGGTATACGGAATATGTTGGACTTTGATAGTTCCAGCACCCTACGTGTGGGCAAGATCCACTTGTTGCGCATTCTGTTGTTCCTTCACGACCTGCATTGAAGGAGTGGAGGAGAGAGGCTGCACAGGCTGCACACAAGTGAGTAGAGCCAACCACGCAGAATTCATCTTGACTGAAGATGGTCACTGGAGCAGTTGTCAGAGAATCATTCTCAATATTCGCTCCCACCGACCCTCGACCCAGGCCTCCATGAAACGAGGCCTAAAAAACTCCTTGCGGATGTGGGGTCCGCGGCTGAAAACAGCTGCAGATCATCCCAATCGCACATGGCAATGCCACGTAGCCTTCAAAAGCAACCATGCAAATTCCGTCCACACCACCTTGTTTCAGCGCAACTTGGCCAAAAGGCTGGATGCAGCGATACTGAGTGCCCACCATGAACACAGGTTGTCTTCGCAAGGTGTCCAAGGTGGTGGATCTTGTTTGCAAATGTTTGCAACATGCACAGCTTCTGCTAACAATCTGACGACATGTACGCGCTCTGCAACAGTTCATCGCCTTTTTGACCGGCCCTGTCTGTTCGTTCTCTCAGCACGCAGCTTCAACCTGTGAAAGACAAGGGCCACTCAAGGACCGCGGATCTGTGAAAAACTGCCCGTTCTGCTGATCCGTGTTCTGCTGATCTGCAACCCTCCTTGGATGATTCTAGACCTAAGGAAAAACAAGGTCACCATTCTACACTTTGCTGTCCTCTTTCAAGCATATCGGCATACCTCATAACAAACAGATTGTTGGGGAGCTCACGGAAGCCAGAAGATGCCTTCCAGGTACCAGTCTTTGCCTTCCAAATGAGAGCCCGGGTTCTGAGAACGGGCCTCGCTCGTACATGGAGAGAATGACCGGCAAGTGCATGCGATGAACCACCTGGGCACGGCGTGCCGTGTTGAGTTTCCGTGTGTCTGTCTGGAACTCCGGCGTTCACAAACAAACAACAACCAGGACATGTACTAGGACCCCAGAGGGGTATGTATGTCTATTTATAGCCCCTTAGGCCCCAAACGCCACCCCTTTCAAAGTGTCCAGGTGGCTGCAACAACAGCGGTTCAGGTCTGGATTGGAACCGAGCCACCTTTCAATGTGAGCCTCCTGTGTCGAACAGACGATCCGAGACCCAGCACCGGATCTGCAGATGGCTCCGACCGCTGGCTGAAACCCGCCTCGAGTGGGAGCGCGTAGACGCAATGGATCGGGGCCAAATCGGCCTTCCTGGCGCCCGAGATGTTCGCGGAGGCCCGAACAGCGATGGAGCACCAAAGCAGATCTCCCAGAGGGCCCAACCACCCGCAGGCGCCACCCAGAACCGACTGGCCTCCGACAGCCGCCTCCTGGCAGCCTCCACACCGACCTCCCGGTGAGGACCGGCGATGGGTTTCACCGGCCTCATCAACGACAAGCCCGCCAGGCCAAAGAAGGTGTGAAAGACATCTGGCCTTGGCCAGTCGAGTCGGATGCCGACCTTGGGGCCTTCTTCCTTCGGTGCAAACCACGAAAGTCGGTCCCATGTTCTGCCGACAGAGTCTGCAACAAGATTCAAAGGTGTTGGAAGTTGAACTGAGAGATAGCTGGCTTAAAGGGGCTTTAGCCAGGTGTGGATTCTTTGAGCTGCAAAAAGGTGATGAGTTGGAGGTGTATTTGGAGGGTTTGGTCTGACGGCTGAGATGTTGAAAATGCGAAGGAAGCTAAAAGATCCTAGGAGCATTTCTAGCATCAATGCCTTTAGCTGGAGCAATGTTGCGGCCATTCTCCAATCTTGTTTCAAAACAAACCCTTCCACAAAAAGACCAAGCGCCCTCGTTTTGACCACTGTGCCAAAACGGCCCAGCTGCCCGATTTTTTCCGATTCTAAACAGCCAGCTCATGTTGGTGAACAGTTGGTATACAACTTGGTCCTGGATCGTGAAACCCAGTCTCGTCCCGCAAACGTGAAGTCTCGCGTCTCATCTTCAGGAAGTCTCCATCGAACGTGGGTATCTTCGAATCAAATCTCCATGTTCACCTGGTTGTGTATTTCAATAGGGGGACCCTCACCTCGTTGCCTTTTGGTCCACTTTCCGTACCTTCCAGGGAGTCGAACTGGGAAGTCTCCCTATTTTCATGCACAACCCACTTTCGATTCTTGAGACACTCAGGGGCGTTGCATCGTTGCATCTGCGTCCAACACCGGGTGTGAGACCGAAGAAAGAAAGTGGACGAAAACGTACGAAAACCCACTGGGCCAAGGTGGTCCCCCATCCAAACACCACACCCATCTTGCCAAGATCGCTAGAACAAGGCCCCCCTGAGATCGCCCGACACATCGCCAGGTCTGTCAGCGATGCCGCCATCCTCGCGGGTCTTTGTCGATTTCGGAGCTGGTTGGAGGGTTCGTCAGCAACGGGGTCTTCGGAAAATCCATCGAAAGATGCAAATGAGTCAAGACACCCTTAAAAAGAATCTATCAAAGAAAATATGCCACCCATTGAGCTTGGATTTAGCATGTCCTATCTCCACGCAGCGAAGGATGTCAGCGAAGGATGTTCGCGAAGGAGGACACTGTTCAGCCACGGCGGAAGATGGTGGAAGCACTCCTATGCGAGCGAGCTCTACTAATGATATGGAAAATGCTTGATTCATCTAGCCCGAAGCACTCCCTTCGCACTTCTGCACCTCTCGACCCAAGGATCTCCTCCTGATCCTGTGCGAGAGCTATGAAGTCAGCCTGTGGCCACGCTTCGCGCAAGCAACGCGGAAGTCACAAACATCAGCAGCATATTGACTGACCAAAGAAACATCAACCGAAGAACAGTATGCCAAAACAGCATCTTGACCAGGTCGTACCTAAGACACTTCTCCAACCATTCAACCACCTCCACCAAATACCAAAACATCGAGGATCGACATGGATCGACACAGCCAATTCACCGCACCAGCTTTTCCATGTCGATCCAGTGCGCGCGATCCAGGGTCACCAAGGCCGACAAGATCCACCAGCTGTAGCACACATCGGGCGCCTCGCGGCCCCAAAGAGAACACGTGCCGTCCGTGCCGTCCAGGTGGGAAGACGACCGTGGCACCGTTGGAAGGGGACGCTGCTGGTAGGGGCCGTTCGTCGAAAACATCGGAAAAAACGGATGGAAAAACATCACAGGTGTCTTGGACTCTTTGGCAGTGCTCTTCAATTTGAGAGCGAATCCTTGGGACGGACGTGAGTTAGAACCGAATCCTTCAGACCTTCAAGTTCAGAATGAGGAACCCTAAAAACTGCAGCAACAAGATGTGGGCTTTGGCATCCAATCATCGCTTTCTGGTCTACGTGGAGACGACGCCCTGATATGTTTAGGTGGGCCGAACAAGAACGGGGGCAGCTTGCCATGGGAGGCTTGAGGCTTCAAGGAGCTTTGACCATGGCAATGTGCCGTTTTCTCCAAAACATCTCAGAAATCTCCGGTTGGCTGCGCTTCAAGGCTCAATTCAACCAAGCCACCGAGCTCCACCGATCACATCCAAACACAACCGCCGCCTCTTCCTTCCACCGCTTCGAGAACGGCCGCGCCTTCTCGGGTCGCCCGTTGAAGCCGCCACTGGGCGTCTGGCGCTCGCAGAGCCACCAGCCCAGGCGATCCACGTCCACCTGGGGCGCGGTGTAGCGGCAAATCCACAAGAAGGGCAGAGCCACAGGAAGAGCCACAAGAAAAAGCACCGAAGGGTGGGCTCGGTTGATGTGAATGGCCATTCTGAAAGACCCATGCATGGTGGTCGGAATCGGATGCTGACATCCTTGCCTCCACCTGTTGGGGTTGCTATCTGGTACTGTGGCACGACTGCCTTTGGTGAAGCGTCAAAGCGTAAGCACATAATGTGAGTCATGCTCTAAGCTGAATATGCATCACTGGCATTTGCAGTGTCCCTCAAGAAAGGTTCAATGTTCATCGAAGTTCTAAGTCACAAAACCTCCACACAAAACTGCAAGAACCAACTCCTTCTGGCATTCATCAATCAGGCGCTCAAGGGGCGGCCCGGCACCAAATGCTACAAAGCACCTGCTATTTCAGACTCAACAACTTCCCGAACTCAGAATCGCTCGCAGATCTCAGGCCCTCACAGCCTCCAGTGCATCCACCAACGCTAAGGCCTCCCAACAGCAACAGCGTTCCAACAGGCGGCGTTTGTCGAGTTGACTAAGGTTCCAATGGCAACTGCCATTCCAATGGGAGGGAATGGCATGGATTTCTTTTCATCTGCAGATCCTGGAGCTTGACTGGAGAAACTTCCCAGTCATGTCGCCAGGTGCTGATGAAGAACTCCACTTTGCACGAAGCAAAATTAGATTGATTGTGTTCTTTTCCAATACCGAAGAACATGGCCATCATCAGTCAACATCAATATTTGTATATATAGATAGAAGTGGAGAAATTGGATGGAGCGTTGGTGAAAGTACTGCTCCACATAGGAGCTTTCACTGGACATGTGACTTCCCCCTGCATCGTATACATGACACCCTGCCCGGACATCCGGCACGTCCAAAGCCATCCAAGTCTTGCACTTGGTCCACCCAACCGTGCTTCATCCACTCGCCCGGACATCCCGCCCAGACCTGCACGGCACAAAACACGTAGGCCGCATGAGATTCCGCCCTTGGCACCGGGCCAAAGGACCCCTCGTAGTTCATGCAACGCCTAGGTCGCCCAATCTGCCCGCGAGTCCGAAGTCTTTCCGGATGACCATGGGATGCATCAAGTTCGTGCGTCCCTGGAATGCCCGAAACCAACCCCCTCTTTCTTCGCATGAGCTCAGGGCAAGATCCAATCCACACATGCATCCACGTCGATCTGGTCCAAGGCATCCAAGATGGTCAAGGACGACAAAGCGCAGTAGGCGAACCTGAGAGACGAGAGCCGAGGGACAACGGCGAGGGACCCGGCAAGGTCCACCCACCCGGGGAAACGCGTCTTTTTGGAGGAAAACCTGCTGAGAACGAAACGAGAAAACATTCTGGTCACTTTGAAGAAGCTCTTTTCAGGCAAAGACGACAACAACGACAACAACGAGGCAAGACATGTGTTGGTCATTTTGAAGACGCTCTTTTGACACGCTCTTGAGATAGACTACGGACTGATTGAATGATGAGATCAAATCATGCTCGAAAGATCTAAAACCTCCAAGTTGAAAAATGTTTGACTGCAGACCTACCTTGCCTGAAACAGCCTGTGTAGACCGAAGTGGGAATGCAAAACCGTTGAACATAATCACCATGAACATGTAGAAGGTACGTCAGAGTGGCCAACTCCGATATCACCAAATCAAATGGGCGTTTTGGTTGGTAGCGGTCCCAAATGATCTGCCGCTACCCCCATTAAGAAAATGTCGAGTGACTACAAGGTGCACACGCACACCCACACACATACAAAGAATAAGTATTAACAACAACAGAAAAATTGCAATAATAACAATCATAATAACAATATACGACAATAGTGATAACAATAATAGCAATAGCAATAAACGCTTCAACATGCGTGATCCATATGGACCTGCTGAGTAACCGGCCTTACATCGACCTGGCAAGAAGAGGAATGAGGCTGAATGATCTGAAAAAGAGAGGAAGCAGGCCTAGTCATGCAATTCTTAAGTGTCAGTGTCAGCCCTTGAATCCATGGAGTCTGCGGACTTCATCCCTTAATTCTACTCTTCGAGAACGAGAGAGATAGCTGTGGCCAGTCGTTTTCAAATCTTAAATGAGTGTATATTGATATAGGATGATTTAGGGAGACCTCCGATAGACCTCTGGAAGAGAGAAAATAAACGAAACCACGGTGGTTGGGGGGGTCTCCCTATTCCGATACACCCCCATACAATCCTAGATCTACCCAAAACAACGAACAGTTTGTGCAAGACTGCCCAAAATGTCCACAAGAGGTAGGTCACAAACTTCGACAAGGACTGATGATGAGATTCATTCTTCTCTGCAAGGCAAGCAGCGCACGGCGTATCCTTTTTCTTGCATGGAAAACCAAAGTACAACTTCGAAGGCCAAAGTACAACTTCGAAGACTGAATTGGGACTGTGGAAAACGAATGATGCATCAGGTCTGTGATCCCTTTGGGAAAATAGAGACGAGAGAAATCCTTCTCAAATTGACATACTAATATAGTCCACGTAAGTGTCCACCTGAGGTTGTGGAGTCTTCTCAGACTCCTCCACTTCAGGAGCCACAGGGCGATGCCGAGGAATGGTGCGGCACAACCCACAACAGCTGGGCCCAAGCAACAGTTTGATGAGAAGAATGCCCAGGCAGGGGATACGAGCGACGCGAAGCGGCCCTGCCAGTGACACCAAAATACACAGGGGGCCCACTACTGCTGCTGCTACAAGTGATTGATTGTCAGAACCATAGTCATATATGTCAAAGACCAAGAGGTGAAGCAGCCAAACTTTCATCCAACTTGTGGCAAAAGTCTGCCGCTCAGGTGGTAGCCACGCAAGGAGGGCCAGCCACAAAATGGCCTCCACCAACAGAGTTCCATGGAACGCACTAAATTTGTTCCCGGGGCCAAGGCCGTAATTCACGAGGGGAAAGATGGCCCAAACCATGACTCCGAAAGATACTAAGAACCAGCGGAAGTAGGAGACATCACCCAGAGTGCCTGCCAAACTCACTATTGATTCTAGCTCAGGCGTCACCAAATTCATGTGCATCAAGGTTTGCACGGCATCTTCCACCTCCTGTGCTTTGCCACTCAAAGCCAGCTCGTGGTGGATATTCTCTTTGTCTGCAACTGCAGAACATTCGGCCTCTACCAATCTTCCACTGAAGCCCCGCTGCAAGAATTGGCTGCGAAGGTAGGCATCTGAAGTCATCACTCTGTCAATTTCCAGGCAACAGCACAGCTGGAACCAGCTCAGCTTGGACACCATCCAGCCCAGTTCACCCATTTCTGTGATCAAATCAAGCCTTGCCCCTAGGGTACTCATCAGGGTACAGCTTACTGCAACGCTCAACCTTTTCAGATGCTCAGACAGGTAAGGTGGACTGAGTGCGATCGCGGCGATGCCAAATGCAGCAAGCATAGCATACAAATACCCGCCTGCAAGTAAAACCGGCGGTCGGAAATTCCGCACCTCCATGAGAAAGGAGCCTCCCTGAACTGCAATGAACCAAAGCCCCACTCGCAGGACACCTCATATAAGCTGTTTTGCGTGCTTGGCCAAAAGCTGAATGAACTGTTTGCACCCCCAACACATCAAACAAATCAGTGTACACATGCATAGACTTTTTGTATATGTCTAACGCTGCTGGGCAAAAGAAATCATTGATAAATCAACACTCCGCCGGCCCGGCCGACCGTAACGGGCGCACCCGCTCTCCGGCAATGCTCTTTGAACGCTAGAAGGGCTGGAATCCCAAACTAAGGGATACAATACTAGGTTTCTCTCAAAATCTCTACCCTTGAAACGGTCTTCTGGAAACTTCTTGACGCTCTTCTCTCAAAAGCTTAAAACCTCTATATAGCTCTGATAGTTTTCAAGCCTCCGCAGCGAACACGCCCGAAACTGTCCTGAAACAGACCCTGACTGCTCACCGCCCGAAATCACAGGGCCGCGATCAGGGCACAGAAGTCGCAACTCGGAAACTTTGCAACTTGAAACTTCAGTCTCACTGCTTCACAAAGAACTGTGTCTGTGTGGGGGGGACAAAAAGGGAAAAAGGCTTTGACAGGACTGGGTACGAAGCCAGATCGCGTGAGGCCTTGCATGAGCAGTTCGTATCTTTTTGGTCCATGTATAAGCCAGGAAGGCCTGATACCAGGGTTTGGACGTGCCCAAAAATCCAGAAGTGAAGAAGATTACAATACTGTGTCAATCCCCGCCCCATGCATCCCCATGCGCTGTTTTGGAATTGTTGTAGACTACGCAACCCTGCCTCATAGACGCACCAAAGGCGTGTGTAGATGCTGACCCTTTCATTGGGAATCACCAAGACCGTTGATGCTGAAGCCAATGCCATTGCGAAAGGAGATTCTTTTGGAGACGCCAACAAGCGCGAGATGTCCAAGTTTTGTGGGTTCGACAGGAAGCAAACGTACGCACCAAGTGCACCTCTCGGCCAGGACTGCTCTACCCGATCAAGAAACTCATAAATGCCTTCTGCCCAGCAATGGGTGATAAACACATTGCAAGTCAAGCCTTCAGGATGCTTCAGCAAAGCCCAGCTCATCCGGCCTGCTGCTTTCGTCACTGGCGTGATGAACTGATCCGTCACGGTGTAAACCGATGGCCCGACCGTCCAATCCATCACTTCGAACGGATCTCGCTCAGTGGGCCGAAGTTGTCCTTGAGCCACAGCGTGCATGACCAGCCTGCGGAACTGTCGCAAGTCTTCAAGATTCACGCACCACTCGTGGAACGGCACCTGGTCATGAAGCGCTGCTCCATCTCCACGCCACGCAGGTGCCAGGTATTCCTCGTCGTTGGGCTTGAGAGTCACGATCCTTCGCGGAAGTTGAAGGTACAAGGTTGAAATCAGAACTCCGATCACACCCACAATCAAGAGGGCCAGCCCAGCACTGTCGTAATTATGTGCAAGATGCTTACAACTCTCAAGTGAGCAGCAGTAGAAGAAGCTTGCACCTTCCTCCTCGGAAGCATTCGTCTCTAGAAAGCTAGCAAAACCTTCATGGAAAAGATAGCCGTAGTCCCCACAGAAGCACTTCTCACTCGCTGCAAGACAGTCTTGGCGTAGTTGCTCCAGACAATCCGGCTCAACTCCAGGAGTAGAGCAGCTGGCTGGCAGTGCCACTACTTCCCCAAAGGACATTGAGGGATGTTGGGTAAGATTCTTCACCTTTTGTTGCATGAAAGCCACAAGAACCGCTTGTACTTCAAACAAAATCACTGCAATTCTTATATTCTTGCACAACCCCTTGTTAGTGTCCGAAGTGTCTTTGGTTCTGGCATTTTTTGGGCAACTTTCTGCTGCGACTTCTACACCCCCTGAGCTCACAAGGAAGCGGAGGTGCTTCGTGGGGGGTTCGAGTTCAAGATATCAAGATCAAGACCTACCAGTCCCACCATGTCCCACAATCCATCAGTCCCACCCGAGTCCTGTGAGTCCTGGTGGTGGATTCCGGGATGATTTCAGGGCAGACCGACCGTGAGCTGATTTGGCACCTGATTTTGGACCTGTGCGACGCCGCAAGCACATAAGACTGTAACAAGGTCGAGCCCCCCCACTTTGTCAGGGAACCCTCGGGTGTTGGTGGCAGGTGGCGCTAAGACCGGGGTTGAAACCCCAACGAAGCGCTCGAAAATCTGCTCTGGAGCGCTTCTTGACCGACCAGTTCCTTCAACCTGACCTGACCCGTTTCAGAACTGGACCCTGAAACAACCCGCTGAAACAGCGTGACTTTCGATCGACGTTTCGAAAAACCACCGTTCGCATCCACCCGGAAGGCGGAAAGAAAGCCACTAAAGAATCGACCCTAAGTATCACCATCGACCCTATGCGCCAGCGAATTTGAAAGATGGAACTGAAAACCCCGCCATCCATGATCCAGCTGGGGCCTCGCCCCACGCATCACTGGCAAAGGAGCCATCGGCTTGTTGTAATCCAGCAATAAAGGCCACCACTCCTGTCGCCACCGGACCCGAATTCAGCCCGTCTGGCGACTGTTTTGGAGTGTACAGAATCAAAACATACAGAATCTGTTTGATGCTGTAGCGTGGTGCGATTCTCAGCACTCAAAAAGTGGATGATGAGTCGTGGTCAACAAAATGCTTCGTGAACCAACCCGAGATGTCTTTGGAAGTTTAAGGCGTTTAAGGGATCGAAAGTCTCAAAACAGTTCTTGTGCATTTAGGAGTTTGACACCAAAGGCTGTGAGAGAATTGTGTCTCTGTACTCCTCACAAGGCCTGTCCAAAAAGGATCAGCATTCCCAAATGTCTGGGAAATGCTCCGCCCAATCCCACGAAACCCTCTTCAGACAGCTCTGGAAAACTGGACACACTCTGAAAAGTAGCATTCACTACGTAAAATATCCTGAATTCCCCACTTCGGATATTTAAAACCTCTGAAGACTGATCAAAATCTGGATTCCCATTGGCGAGCCAAAAAGAACAGCACAGCTCCGCAAGCTCTTGCTTTTGGAAACCCTCAGGCGCCAAAATGGGCACATTCTTGGATTACTAGACTGCCCATGGTGAAAATCTCCAGTACCCATTTGTTCGGCACCACCCGATCACCACCCACTTCACACTCACCATCGCCACTGCCGACCACGCGACCACTCCGGGGACCCACCTCCCCGATGGGGCAGCCGTTCGAGGGCGTCGAACATGCACAGAACCAGCAGCGCCTCGTTCCGGCGAGCCCACGCCGCCGGCGTTCTGCGCACGTGGGTTCTGCGCGCGCGAAGGCGAACGGCCGCCGGTGCCAAAGCTTAAAAGCTTCAAAAACTGTTCCAAGCACAGAACTCTCCAAGTATAGGCTGCTAAGGGTAGCACAGGTATATAATGAAGCCAGTGATTCGCGGGGGGGTCAGAAACCCAAGCTGAAACTAGTGATCTTCTGTGTGTCCAAAGGGTGTCTGTTCTATTGATTATTTAACCAGGCTAGCGCCTGGCAGCCGCCGACCCCCACAAAGGGGATGGCCTAGGTTTATATAATGGGTTAAGAGTTTTAAAAAAAATCGAGCACGGCAAATGGGTTAGCATTTTTCTTTGAAAATCTGGGAACCCAAAAGCCTCCACCGGCACACTTGCAGAATGCGAGCACAGCACTAGAAAAGAGCAGAAAAAGCTTGCAAGTGCGGAGCGCATAGAGGAGAAACTCCTAGAAAAAAACCTCGAAAATACCTTAGAAAAAAGAGTGGAAAATCTCAGGAAACCACAGAACTTCCTGGAAAAACCATAGAAAATCCTGGAAAAGCCCTCGAAAAAGGCATAAGTAAATCTTACAAAAACCTTTGAGAATCCTAGCAATCCAGCGGAAAACGTTACATAATCTAGGAAAAACCAAGGGCACTGGCAGGGACCAGGCCGCAACCAGGCCGGGATTCGAGCCCGGGACCATTTAGGGACCGTGCTTATTTTCCCCCGCGGGTGGAGAGGGTGCCCCAAGATGTAAATCAATTGGGATGGAGAAATCTTGGACAATTTTGGGCTACTTTTCGTCACTCCAACAAAGCTCCGGAGGGGTAGGGGAGGTATAGCCTTAATCATAGCCTTAGCCTTAATCATAGCCTTAGCCTTAATCAACAGTCACGCCTGACCCCACGAGTGGGGTCGGCGGATTTTTGTTTGAGACTTTCAGAATGACACACCCATCTGCACATTCAAGTTCTAACATTCACCATCTGCACTTGATTGGCTTAACCCATCATGACCCATCCGAGTGTTCCACGTAGTGTGTCGCCACCAGATCTGCATCGTGGCCCACATTCGGCCCAAAGCCACCGGAAGTCTTGGGGTCGCGACACCTGCAGCGCTGGGCCACTCAAACCGAAAAACTGCAGAATGTCGGAAGAGCTCAGGATGTGTTTTTGTGTTGCCTCGCTTTGAGCCCTATAAAGAACAAAGCCAATTCACGAAAGAGGAGAGACACCGTCTCAGGGCAGATGGGCAAGGCACTGTCTTAATCACAGAATCAGGAAGGCAGTTACGGTTCTCCGCCAGAGGTCTGTCGTATTTGTTCGCACCAAAAAAAGAAAAGGGAGAAAAAAAGACAACGACCGAAATCATCAGCACCGAAATCGATGTCGGCTTCCTCGTTGCTTCGACCGAAAGGCTTCGGTGTCTTCCATGCGCTAAGGACCCAGAAGCCGGCGCTAAGGCTGAGGACCCACCCAGGACGCGAGGTCGGACCCAGCACTGAAGAAGGAGCGAAAACCAGCAAAAAGTCAGAAGCCCACTTGCCAGTTCCATCAGTTGTCCCTGTCATGGTTTTTGGGGGTTGAGCTAAGGAATTAAAATGTGCAAAGGTGTTGCAAGAAATTGCAAGAATTGGCAAGAATCTTGGTTCAAAGGTCGCAAAGGCCAGTGGACACAAGATGCCAGTGCCCACCTTTGTTCGAAGGTTCCTTCAGCAACTGGCCAACACCTTCACAACCAACCCACCAGCGGCCCGCCTCAAGATCCACTCGATGATGTCATCTCTCCTGACTCTTCGCTCGAGTGATGAATCAAACCCCACCCAGACATGGATTGTAAAGCCACAGACCAGGCCTGGGGTTGTGTATTTTGTTGTACCCCCCCGGGAAAGAAATGGCTGTGCAGAATTCTCCTCTACCACGCAGTGGGAGTTCCATGCTAATCAGGAATACGAAAAAGAGTCTACAATGACTGTGTGAAATAGTGAACCCCCTGAGAAGCGACAGAAACTCGACCCCTCGACTCTACCCAGCCAGAGGGCCAGATTGGAAGGGGTCGCCCTTTCCATCGGTCCGTCTGTCTGGCCACCGGTGGATCTTTCGTACCCTTCGGCCCCCAACGAAAAGAGAACAAAGAAGGCAACAAGGTGGGTTCTTGGTTGCTTTGAGCGCAGGAAGAAGGATTTCAGGGACTGTAAGATGCTGTAAGTGTAGACTTAGGTCATAGACGCCTTGTAGAGGACCCTGTCAACTTCCGAGCACCCTTTTTTCACCAGGAAGGGCCGTTGCGGAATGGCCGTTTCGCAACCCATCGTTGCTCGAAATCCTCTGCTCATCATCCAACTGCCGAAGCAAGGACATGGCCTCGTGTTTTCACGCCCATGTCCAACCATCGGGAAGAAGGAAAATTATCTTGGAAGAGAGAAAGAGAGGGACGTGTATCAAATGACAGTATGATACAGTGCGTGTATGTATATATATACATATATATATCAGAAACCTATATATATATATGTATGTATATGTCAAATATCTGTCCCTTCCAACAAACAGCTTCAAGAATCGGCAGACAGTGAAGAAGAAAAAAGAAGGACCTGGAAAGACGTGGAGATTTGAAGACTCTGAAGTTCTGAAGAACATACATCTATTAGATTTGGATCAAACATCCAGCTTGAATCATGAACCACATCCTGTCTCTGTCCGCGTGACATAGCCCAAGAAAAGTGACGTCACCTAAAGCGAACGGCTCTCATAGCACGGCTCAACCGTTCTGGACTGGTAGTGCAACGGCTCATCCGTGTCATTTCAGTTCGGTGAAGCCTTTTCTCCCATGGTTGCCCATTCACTGGTATAGATAAACCAGATTATCGGCTACCGATCATGGAGAACCATTCTTGATCATGAGAGACACGGTTTCTCCACCACCCTGATACGGAAAAGTATCAACGACATGTATTCTATGGTATTTGAGGTCCAAAGCACCAGATGGCCGACCAGATGGCGCAAAACCCGACCACTCAACGGCGACCCACTTGAGACCCACACGCTGACGGCCCAGTAGACACCACCCATGCGAAGGTGTTCCGTCCTTGGGACACGGATGGAAAAGGTGGAAAAGACGAAGAAGTCTTGGAGGCCAACCTAGTAGCAATTTTTGCAAGAAAGAGGTGAAATAGGGTGACATGATGATGTTTTCATAAACTCCGTGGTTTGGGTCGGCGATCTTCCCTAGGAATGGAAGGAGGTTCCAAAGGGGACGGAGGTTGACCATGGTCCTCTCCTACTGGTTGTCGAGCACCGTGGATGGTGATAAACCATCTTCCGTCCCCCTCGGAGGAGCGGTTTCCAGGCTACCCTCCAAATAGGCCACCCCCAACTATGTGGCTGTTCATCTGCTGGCCCGACTACAATCGAGTCAAAGAGAACGCGTGCCCCAACAGGGGAGCGCCGAGACTGAAGCCATGACCATCGGGTAAATCCAGTGAACACCAGGCAAGTCCCCAAAAGATGATCATGTCGAGCCGGGGCGGGAGGAGGGGAGGGACTGCCAGGACTGATCTTTCAACGTCAAAGGCCTTGAAGTGAAAGATTTGGGTGTATTCAAATAGGTTCGGGAAGTTCGGGGTCCTCGACCAGAAAACACCCCACCAGGTCACCAGGTGCGAGGGGCGATCGGGGGGTCCCTCACCTGGCGGCCACAGACCAGATGGTGACCGGATGGGTCTCTGGCGACCAATCAGTGATTGTCCGCTGGTGCTGATGAGGCGGAATCGCCGGTTCTTTGAAGATCGAATGCCTGAAAGAAAAGCAAATTGGACTGCATGACATGAACTCTTTCGTTGCAAAAAGGTGATTTGGATTTGGCAATCTTTGTCTTCTTACCTAATCAGTCGGGTATTGATGTCCGTAAATGACAAAAGTGATGTCCTTGGCTGCCCTCAGTCTTCGGACGGAGGCAGAACTCTTAATCAAGGGCTGGGAAATAAAAGGCCCCGGCCAGGACTGCGGGCATAAAAGCGTGGCCATTGAGTTAATTCTCGATATGTTTAGAATGCTAAATTCCTAGCCTCCCCGAAAACAGCAAGCCACCCAGGTGAAACGACACGAAAGCTCTCAGCTCTCTGACCAAACGCCGGTCGCCCTGACCGGTCAGTCGCGATTCCACTCGGAGACCGGGCATCATGTACTCCAAAGACTCCTCTGACATATGGGAAGAAAACGAAGACATGTGACATGGTCAAGTGGTGTTTATTCTTCGGTCCCCGCGCATAGGGCTTAAGTGGCTTAAGTTCCCTGGTTGCTTGAACAAACGAATTGGCTCATTTTGCATCCTGGAAGGCCATCCAGTCGCAAATTTTAAAGTGCCATTTCTACAGTCTTACAGTCTACGGTATGGTTTCTAAAGCAAACATCCTGTAGGAGTAGGACAACTTCTATCCTTTGTCAAACATTTCTTCGTTGGAGCCACTTGGCAGCTGTAAATAGATGCATTTGGCACGCCAAAGAGTCTTTCCGGATTCCATGTTTTTGTTGGTCCTCTTCTCAGCAAGTTTGTCACTCAAAAAAGGATGCCCCGCTTCAAAACAGGAAACACAAGCAAAGAAGTGCATTTCGAGTCACTAACTTGGAAGTGGACCATCCCCTATATACTATTCGCATCAAACATGAGGAAAAGGTCTTTCACCAAAAACCAGGCCATCCACGTGATTTCACCAAAAACCATATACCGATTCTTCTTGGGCTCCCGGAAGGTCGATCGATCGCCAAGGGGCCCCCGGCCCTTTTCCCACGACGATTCGTGTCCTTGTCGTCATCCAAGTGGCGCCTCGTTTTCACTCAGTTGACGGGTGCCGGATGTGGCGAGGTGGTGTCGCCCGGTGGCCCCTCGAGTGAAGTCGAGTCGAGCGGGGCGAGGAATCGAAGATCCGAGGTGCAAGTAGTGGTTGTGCTTCTCCCTGAGCTCCTTGAGAACGTTCGGCATCACTCGGAACTCTCCGAGGTTCGGACTATTTCACACCGAACCTGCGGGGTTCCGCGGAACCGGCGTTTGGGAGGAAACAAGGTCGACGGCCGCATGCTCAAGCATATCTAGTATCTAGATATCTAGTATCGCATCTCACTGTGGATGGGGTTGCTGGTGCGTACGGTCCATGGCGGTTGCCACGAAGAGAAGAAGTTTCGGTCCATGGCGGTCCACGGAATTTCCGCACAGGTTTCATTCAAAGAAGCGGCACAGAAGTTTCGGCCTGTCACCTGGTTGATCCGCAGTTGGCACAAAAGTTGGACTGAACATCATCTTGCTAAGAAAACTGTCCACTGGCCTCACTAAAATAGACATTTAATACAAAGGATTATACATCGCGATGTGAAAGCACGATAGGTTCTTCAAAAAAAATAGTTTCCTCTGAAATCGCGCCCCGCAACCCTGTCCCGAATTGCCACTTGTAGTACAAGCTTCATAAGAAAACAGGGCACCTTTGAAGAAACCCGGAGCCGTGCAGCCGATATTTTTCGAGGGCAACCCGCCCCACCAACCGCAGCGCGGCGGAACCGCTTCCTCCACCGCCCTTTTCGGAGCATCGGCCTCCGGTTCGTGTGATGCTCGATGCTCGGATGATCCCACTCAACCAGTGGGATTGCCAAGAGTGGTCTCCCGCGGTCATCCAAGGTTTTGATGCATTGAAAGAATAAAAAATTGCATCTTGCATACGAAGTCAAGAGCTACCATGCGCTTTATCTAGTCACGTCATGTCTGGCTGAGGCTTTCCAGTTGCAAACAGTGCTGGGAAAAAGGGAACCCTCTGCATTTCTTAGTGCTGGATATGTTGGTTACAGAAAAAAAATTAACAATAACTGCGATACAAACACCCAACGCTGCTGGATCAGGGAACGAGTTTTTCATCATAGCTATCCAAGTGGTCATTGAAAGGATGCATCTACCCACTGACCCGAACATGTGCCTTGCTCCGCTCCGGATAACCCGCCATGGGGGGTTCGGTATGCGTGGTCGGCCCAAAGGTCAGGTGAGTGAAGCTTGTGTTGGGTGAGGCACCACTGCAGTCTTTGATGGTGCTTACGGCGTGACACAAGTAGTGTTTACGGTGCATCAGTTTGTGAGCATCGTGCAACAATTCAATGGTTTCTGTTTGCGCATGACTTTTCGATCCATACCGGCAATGTTGTTTGTGAGGTGTTTTGTACTAGCGCAAACAAAAATTCCGTTTCATTGCAGTTTGCATGAAAACCTTGGTGTTTGTGGTATCTGTGTGTGCAACTTTCCTGCCATTACGAGGCACCGCCGCACAAAACATTGCATCCACCTGTTGGCCAAGATGTCCTTTGCACCACCTCAACAGGGCCAACGAAGAGAATCAAAAAACTGCCAAAACAAGTTGCGAAGAAGTGTTTTGAACCATTTGCAACGATCCATTCTGATTGCAACGATCCAAATCCAAGAGTCAAGGGAGCGTCACTTCAAGGAACGATCCATTTGAGATTCAAATTCCCATGTTTCAAGAATCAAAGGCGGACACAAACAAGTCGGAAGACAACTTTCCAACACAAGTGAAACAGTTCCAGGACACTGTTCACCTTGAAGGCACAAAAACCCATTTCATCACGTTCAGCCTTCCATGCCGTGCGATGGAAGAACACAACCCTTCGTTTGTAAAAGTTCCACCATCTCAATTTTCGATAAGCCTTTCTTTGAAGAAGGCCGCTTGTGAAACAGACTTGCCAAGTGTGAGGTAAGATTTTACCACCCAGGTGCATCACGCAGTTCAAACCCAAGGCACAGAAACCTGAAATGGAGGATGAACTGCACAGGAAACTGCCGGGGTCGTACATTCTCACAATGCACCAAATGTTCTTCAAACACTCTCAATTGATACTATGTACCCTTAAAGTGCTTCAAGCGTTTCCAAATCTTACCCACACGGTCTCTTGCCCTTCCACAATGCACCAATAATTTTTGAGCCCTTCCCGAATGGTTTCTTGTGCACTTCCACAGCACACAAGCTGAAGCGAAGTGAATCCAATCTCATTTGAACGAGCTGGTGCACTTCCACGGCACATTTATAGTGAAAACCTTCCACATGCTAGAGATTTCAGTCACATTGTCGTTTGGTCTTTCTTTGAAATATCAAGAACGCATTCTCTTCATGGCCTTAGGCCATGGGTCTGGATCAAAGAACTCAAAAACATGGTGTGGGGGGGTGGGCGCTTTTCGAGCTTCACGACCCAAAACTGCGCGTGACATACACGATAAGAACACAAGTGAACGAGTACACTCTACGTATTTTACCTTTCGATCACCGTTGATGATCTTCAATGTCACACAGTCGTTTGGTCTCTTTTGGACAAGGCACACGATCATTCACACCCGCGGGGAACAGAATTGGTTGACAGTTTTCACGCCCATTTCAGAGTCCCACTCTTTCATCTAGCATTCTGCCACCTCCGGCCCATGGTTCCACCTGCGCCAGCAGCAAAACACGCTCTCGACGACGCAAAGTAGTGCTTCAGGCTTTTTGAAACACAAGAGGGCACCGCCATGAAGTCATTAGGGGTTAAGTGAAAACGCCGCCCTCAATGATGGCCCCAAGTCAGCTGCTTTCAGGAGACGATGTTCTGGCAGCGTTCTGTAACCCAAGCTTTTGTTAATTCATCATTGAGGGCGGCGTTTTCACTTCACGCTTCCTGATTTTATGTCTGTGTAGGCCCTCAAGTCGCTGATCAAGGCCTACAGGTGGATCTCAGACGAGGCTGATCTCCAACTATGTAGAACCTCCATGCACCGTCTTTTGTTTTCAAGGAACTCCAACCTCCTCCATCAGAGTTGCACATAAAAGTAGCTGACACACCCTTATGTCTTGATAGTATCTATTATTCACCCTGCGATGAGCCATGTTTGAAGCTTCATTTGCAGAAAAGAAGAAAGATTCTAGAAGCTGATTGTGGAAAGACCTGAAAGGTTTAGAAACCTGGAGATCAGCATTGTCTGAGATCCACAGGTGTTTGCCTCAAACGTTGGAGGTCAGTTTTGCGTGAGACAAAAAACCTAAAGGCGAAGTTGCTTTTGATACACTTTTTGAATTTGCTTTTTGGCTTCAAAACAGGAGCCGTACATGTCGGCTGGAAGCCAAAAGCAGCTTCTCATTTTCTTGCATTTTTTTGACCGTCTATGTCAACAGGCTCGCGCAGATAACCGGAAAGTGTGACATTGACTGAGATAGTGCGCCAGAATGAGATTGCAATTTCTAGACACGAGACTTTTTTTTCCACGAGTACGGATGCCGTGTGGGCATGGTGCCCAGGTCATCGTTGAAGGGAGGGAAGAACAGTCTGATGGTGGAGAAAAGAACAAGGAAACCCGACAACACACAAAACCAACAACCACCACAACCAAGGGCCCACAGGCCGTGTCTCCACCATCATGTAGTCTTTCCTCTGTGCAAGGTGAAACATGTGAGACGAGAAAAAGTGCCTAGAGAGGGGCCTGAATTAACGAAAGAAAGCATATCGGCGCAGGTTTGTGCTCAAGCAAAGTCGCAAAAAGGCTTCAAAGGGACTTCACTTCACCTTTATGAGCGACCAACGGCCACACCCCAGTGCGGCAAAATATGGTCACGATGCAATTCTCCACTCAAAACGGGGTATCGCAATGCTTCAACGTCGATTGCATCCCTGGCAAGTGGGGTGGCGTAGCTGTGCAGCATGCCGTGGAAAAGACCTTTCTTGTGGCACAACCCGTTCAACCGGTTGCACTTACAAGTCAAGTGGCATGCTACCAATCAAAATTCAATGAGAGGCGGCCATAATCGACGAGAGCCAGCAGGTGATGGTGCGAAGAGACCCCCCCCGAAGGGAGGTCAGCTCAGCACTGTTTGGTACCCACAGGTACCAAATAGCAAACAGAGTGGGGTGTCTTCCAGGTTTCCGAGGCGCTGCACCGTTGCAAAAGTTAATCGGCTGCATGCAAGGCCCGTGTGAAACAGGTGAAACAGGTGAAACTTTGGACAATCCTAGCTTGGTATCTGTACTTCTTTGTACAAAATTGGAAATGTCGGACATCAACAAAGGGAACTAAGGTTCCCCCTGGGCATCCGCCATTGCCACTCTCTACCACCCGCCTGTTAGGAACGAGGAGCTAAGGCTCTCACTCCTATTGGCTCACAGCAGTCCGAATGGCGAAAAGAGGTTGGTCAGTGTTTGCGCGTCTTGCTTGCCACACTCTACTGTCAGTCAGCTTGTCCCCCAATCCAGTCACAGGTTCCCCGGCTCTGTCTGGTCTAGTTCTTTTTCTTCCCTGTGACAACTGGCATCTGTCGACATTTCCTAGCATTGCCTGGACTAGACGGGTTATCCAGTTTGTTCAGGGACACTGGTCTTTGGCAATGTGCAGTTTATTGTCGTTTGCTTGCCCCTAGCCTCGCCATGATACTCTTGAGTAGAACTTCCTATGCAAGGGTACAATTGCGATGTTTCTCCGCTCCCTTCTGGAATTTGCCCTGTCATGATCGTTGACCTACCTTGGACCCACGCTAAGGCGCGTGCCCAGACTCTTGACGGGTATCTACGATGCAGCACTCGCTGCAACCAAGAAAAAAGTCTTGTTTTCATCCAAGACCAGGGGTGTGCCCCATGTCCGGGATCATGTGCAGCCAAGGTGGCCATCGCATAGCAGGACAAATGGCGAAAGCGTTCTCTTCTGCGTAGACTCCTCGCCATTTATGCCTTCCTGGCATCTTGACAAGCCTACTAAAGACAGTGCAATCTAGGAAGGCCCTACTTCCTATGTACCTCAGCGAGGGCGGAATGGCAAGCTCCACGAGAGCTGCGCAGTTCATGAAAGCTTTTACTCGGATTGTGTGAAGAGTTATCGGAAGAAGGACTTCTTTGAGACTAGTGCAGTGCACAAAGGCGAATTCCGGAATTTCCTCAACCTGGGTGTTGCAAAGGTCTATGTTCTTAAGTAGTCGGCAACTGTCGCATGCATGCGCTCCGAGAGTTACAAAATGCATTGGGAGGGCAAGTGCAGTGATTCCTGTGGAGCTAAAGCAGCCCGGCGTTAACTCACTGACCCTAGCTTGCAGTACTGACTCTCGAGGAGATGGAAGCTCACTTAAGGTAACCTCAGCAAGATTGATACAGCCTTGAAAGAGGTAGTGCCCTAGCTTGGCTTCGCTATTGAACACATTTGCAATCCCTTCCGATGCATACACCCATTGCAAGGAACAACATTCCGCAAAGGCTTTATGCCCAAAATCTAGGCAACCCGGAGCCGCGACGCTGTTTAGTAGTTTGCAATCGCGGAAGACATTATCGGAAATGCCTACTACTGTGGCAGGCAGTTTAACAATGCGGAGCTGCCGACAGTTTTGCCAAGCCTCTGCCTTAATGAACCTGATACCTGGTTCTACACTGACATGTCGCAAGCGTGGAACTCCTGCAAAAGCCCCTTCTGAGACACTTCTCTCTGGGTTCATGGGGACATGAACTGCTAGCGGAATGTGATGGATAGGGCAATCCTCAAGTTCTACCTGAGATGGCAGGATAACACTACAGTTGCGAAAAACGATGGTGTATTCCATTCCTTGCTGTAGCTTGTCCCAGATTGGGTCAATTTCTAGACACGAGACTTCTGCACTTAGAGCATTTCGTACTCCGACCCGGAATTTTTTCTACAAAAAATACTTATTTGAAAGATCAAACTTAACGAATTAACGATTTAACGATGTTTTTTTAGGCTATCTATTTTTCATTACTGTGGCTTGCTGGCAATTGCTGGCAAACAGCCAAGCTGTAACCAGAAGCCATCGACAAAGGAAAAAATGGAGGCCGAGCCAAGCATTGAACCAAAGAAAACAAACCTTTTGCAGACATACCCCAGGGAGCGCCGCTGGTGTTCTGCAGTTTCTGCACTTGTACGGGCAGTTTCGACGAACAGTGCTTGGTGTCGATGCACCATCTGCATCGCTCATTGATGGGTGATTTCCGCATCACCAGCTTCCGACTGCTCTTCC